ATATTATCTTTAATAGTAGGTTTAAAAATTTAATCAAAATCTTAACCCTATATTTTCCCTTCCGTACTAGTAATAGCAGTAAAGTTGATAATTACATTTAAAGTCATCCTTGTCGGAGACATTATGACATTTGTTAAATAACATGTGTAATGAAGGTTGCATGTGGTGTAATCATTGTGTGATGGAAATGTATTAATTTCTAGTAATTTTTGGTGTACTATTTTATTAAATTTGTAAGGTTCTTAAATATTTAGATGAAGTTTTGGATTTTTTAGGCAAATTTAAACTTCAATTGAGTAGTTTTTAAAATTAGACTTTCAAATGTATCTCTTGAAAGTTGTGTTGGTTTTGAATTAAAATTTTTTTAAAACAAAGTTAAATTCCAATCTGATAAATTTTATTTTATTTCAATGTTTTCTTTTTAAAAAAACATTAATTTAAAATGTTAAATATATATAAAAAATAGACTTAAAAAATGGTTTTTAAGCCCGTGAAGCAAGTGAGTTAAACCTAACGAGATGAACTTAATGAGATGAACCGAATTGTTCGTGAACTTATAATGAGTCGAGTTTGAGCTTAAAAAAAGGCAATGTTGAACTCGAACCGAGATTTGAGCTAAACTAATTCTTGACGAGTCGAGTTGAGTTGAGGTGAGTTCGACTCGATGTTGAAGCGGTAAAGCGGCAAGCAAAAATATTATTTTCGAAAGAATTTCCTCCGAGATTTATATCGTCTCCACAGGGATCAGTGTGAGGGAAAGAATGTTGTTCGACAATCTCTACGTCTCTAAGCTTGAGTTTAAATGGTTTGGGATAAAAATGCCAAAGAAAAAAAAACATAAAACAAGAAAATAAATACATTCTTAAGAAATGAGAAAACTCGTCAGGAGTTGTATTTCGTTCTACCCATCATGTACTAAAAAATATATGGATTAAATGCACGCAACCTAATTCACTCGTCAATATCATCACGTATCGCTCACAACAGAGGTTATGTCTAACGCAAAGTCGAGAGATCAAATGTATCGTCTCATTGGTGATGTCTCATGCAACTCGACAACACAGAGCATTAACAATCGATACCCACGTGAATATTAGTCCTAAATCTATGTATAAAGTTTATAATCTAACATATGTTCATCTTAGATCGAGTTTGAACCGTATATGTCTATAGCAGTTCAAACCCATTAAGTAAAAAATCAAGATAACCATCGATAAAGAGTTGTAAAAGAGATTTTATACAAAGATCCACAAATATACATACAGACAAGATAAACTTACATACAAAACCCCAACAAATAAAAAATACATAGAGAGGAAGGAAGAAGAACACAAATCTCACGGTCTGTCAACTCCGATTGAAGTGGATTCGACTCCGGATCATCAAGATGCACCCTCCAATGTTGTTTCTAAGCTAAATCTACTCAAGAATGTGTTTGATGGAGTTGAGGTAAAAAGTTCCCAAACAACATAACCTAAAAAATGCTGAAAAATCACTTAAATAGGCAAAAATGGGTTCTAGTGTTCGCCTAGCGAATTCCCGTTCGCACAACAAACTTGTGCCTCTTTTTCTACTACCAAAATAGTGTTTTTCACACGTTTTAGAACCTTTTGTTCGCCTAGCGAACTTTTTTTCGCTTAGCGAACATGACAGCAAACCAACACTTGTTTTGATCATAACTTTTAAACCGTAACTCTGTTTTACGCGCGGTCGGAAGCGTTGGAAAGTTTATTCAATGCTCTATAAGATAATGAAAAAATATCATTGCTTATATACCTACAAAAATAAGAAAAAATCAATTAAACTCAATCATATTTATATAATACACAATATATACACTATAATGTAAACTATACAACATATGCACAAAAGTTGAGGTTTATTGGTTGAATTAAGCCAATAAGTGCAAATTATTCACACTCAAAATCAGTACAATTTAGCACTTATCACTCGACTCGACTCATTCCAGCCCTAATTGTATGTCAATGCATGTTGTTTATGGTCAGAAGGAGGGTTGTAAGCATTGTTATTATTGTTGCATTGATTTGTATTGACATGCATCATTGTGTCGTGTCAATGAAAGAGGCATACTTGCTAGTTCAGAAGAGGGGACTCATGACTTGTCCCAATCTCAGAAGGAGGGGGGCTTGAAGCTTAGAAGGGGGATCATGGGTTCAAAAGGGGGGACCCAGTTCATGAGAGGACCAAATGTTGAGTTGGTACCACATACATAATGTCACGTTTTGTCGTGAGTCTCATTGCACATATGTACATATCATTGTATAATTGGTGTGAGATTTTGATGATGTTAATTGTGTATTAACTGTATGATATGTTGTTTGTTATCAACCTTTGCATTCTTTACACTGTTTTATATCGAAGTTTATTTCGCACCCATTTGCTTAATATTGTCCACCACGAACATCTTATAGATAATCAGAAGTACAATTGTTGTTGTGTGTGGACGATGACTTGTTGGAACTATTCTTCGATTTATCTATCGTTTATCGCAATTTAATGGTTTTAGTGCTATAATTTTATAACATCGGGAACAAGGCATTTTTTGAGTTGATGTTGAATTATGTGGTTTAAAGTTACTTTATTTTGTAAAAACTAACTTGAAGTTGTTTTGATGTGATTTTTTATTGCATGTTGTCAAATATATTGACGAGTTTTTGGATGGTAATGACACCTTAATTATTGATTAGATATTTTTACATAAGTTTCGGGGTTTAGGGTATTTTGAACCATCTTTCTAAGCAAGTTGTCTGGACTTTTTAATTTTGTTCACCCCTTAAATATAGTTAGCATCATAATGTGTTCATTGAAATATTGAGAAGAGATTATAAACGTCGAGCATGACACCTTCTTTGTGATGTCAAAATATATTTTCAAAAAACTAACAAAACATTATGCATTATCCAAATCCTCATTATTTGGAATATCACCTTGAATCAACACTAAAACATCACATTTCTCACTCAATCTCTTAAATGCCTTCTGAAACTTCAATACAATTTATAGCATAATGTATATGGAGTCCCACCTAGTGGAACATCCAACTGAACAATATAATTTTCTTGTAACCTAGCTTCCTTAATGCAAGTTTTAAATATATTCACACGACGTGAAGATGCACATACATATCTAACAGTATTCCTAATTTTACTAATTGAAGAACGATAGTCTTTTAGTCCATCTTGAACCACAAAATTTAGAATATATACACAAAAGTGAACATGCATATATTCCCATTTCAATGGATGTGAATTTCAATCATCCATTATATTTTTCTAGTAAGTGATAACGACATCATTGGATCTAGTAATATCAATTGCAATGGTGAAACTTTACCTATTATCCATTCCTGCAAACATTTTTTAATTTTTTTTTGCCCATGGTCAATTCTTTGTGATTTAGAATTGGACATAAATTAAGAGTTCTTTTATGAAATTTCCAATCATGATAAATGAAATGTATAATAAGACAAAGATAACTCAAATTTTACACAAATGTCCAACAATCATTGTAAGATAATTGATTTGATTTATTTCACACACTTTTTAACATATGTTTCTCACTCGTGTACAAATCAATCTCTAGCAATTGTAATCCTTTTAGGAGCTGAGAATTTATGCTAGACACACTCATAAAATAAAGAAATCTCTCTCCCTCAACAAGCTTAAAAGGTAACTCATCAACAATTGTCGTCTTATCTAAAACTTTCTTACATGCCTCAACATCAAAATGGACACTAGTGAGAACACTATCAGATCCATTTTCATCTTCTTTTTTCAATTGTTGAAGAACAAGAGTCTATTAAGTGCGATCAAGAGACTCATTAGAAAACTTCTTACATTGGTGCAACATATGGCATTTCAAGTTACTAGTTCCAATTCTATGTGAATCAACAAATGATACATTACACCAATTACACTTAACTCTTGATCCTACTTTCGTAAAAATGTTTCCAAGTCCAATATCTAGGTTAATATGTTTTATGTTACCTGGATCTTAGGTGCAATATTAAAATCATTAGATGTAATTAATTTTGAATCTTCTCCAACTTTTATTTATTTATCATTTTCTTTAGAGAAATGCTAACCAGTGCCCTCAGGGCACTTTTTAAAACTTTAAATAGTAAGTTTTTATAAAAATATGTGCAATGATGTGTAATAATGTGCATTGAAAATTGAAGTGTTTGAATTTTTTAAAGAATAATTTCTTAATATGGAATGTTTAAATAGTGCCCTGAGGGCAGTGCTTATCAAGACCCTTTTCTTTATCATTGTTTACTTCATTATTTTGCATCAATAGTGGTGGTGGCGAGGGTTCAACGGTTTCACACTATAAAATAAGAAACAAAATAAACAAGAACCATAACCATTATAGACATTAACCAACATTTACTAAGATAAAATAAATTGGTTGAAAATAAATTATGATATCTGCATGAGGTTGCTAATAAGAAAATGAATTATGATACCTGTATGAAGTCGAGGGAGACGATTTAAAATAAGAGAGAACTTGATTTGCGAATTAAAGAAGGTTAACTATTCACTGAGGGAGGTGACAGAAACAATTTTTCACATATCTTTCCCAATTTATTGATAATACAATTATTAAAAAAAAAAGTAAAACCCACATACACATGACACAGGTTTCAATCCGTGGCACCCAGTAAATGAAATCATATGAGCATATTCTTACCGATGTGCTTCGTGGTGGTGGACCCACCCGCACCAAAACAAGAGTCTCATGATATAACACCAACAAAACTCATATCCACCGTTCATTCATCTTTCTTTTTCCACGACCAACGTTCCAAATTCAACACCCTTTAACTAACTGCCACGTGCCAACTACCTATATATATCATACTTCCACACGCGCACCCGATCATTTTCACTTTCTCGAGAAAAAAGGGTCAGGAAAAAATCACAGCAACACCGAAAATTTTCAAAAAATTCGATTCTCACATTTCGGTTATCGACTCAACAATGGTAGCGATTCAGTTCATCAAAGCTCGTCAGATCTTCGACAGCCGTGGAAATCCAACTGTCGAAGTGAGTTTTCCTTTTCCTTTTTCTGTTTCGAAGCTGAGAAAATGAGCGGGAAAATGAAGGAAAATTAAAACGACGTTTCGGTGTGTTTTTTATTCGTTTTTAGGAACTTGTTTAGTTATCTATGGATTCTGATTTTGGTTTTGTTATGGTTAGGTTGATGTTACTCTCAGTGATAAAACTTTCGCTAGAGCTGCTGTTCCTAGTGGTGCTTCAACAGGTTGAGATTTGGCTTTGATTTTGTGTGTTTGTGTTGATTTTATTCCACTGTTTGTGTGATTTGAGGAATGTTTGTATTTAGTGCATTTTTGTATGCGTTTTTTTAGTAAATTGTTGTTTGTGTTGGAAGAAAATAGAAAGGAATGTTGAATTTAAAGTTATGTTTAGTTGTTTCTAATTCCAACAAACATACATGATTGATGTGACTTGTTTACTATGTGGGATTGACACTTTTTAGGTTTGTTGAATGCATGTGACATGTCCCATGTAATACTGGCACATGTTTAATCACTTTTTTTTTCTCTCAAATTATTACAAGCATATGAGGCTACATGCTTCGTAGTTGTTTTTATGTTTTACTGATGTTTATTGATTGTAAACGATTCATGTTTGTTTATAGAAGATAAATTAGGCTTCCATTGTGTGTTTGTGTTGATTTTTTTGAACTCTTTGCGTGATTTGAGGAATGGTTGGATTTGCTGCATTTTTGTAGTAATTGTTGTTTGTGTTGAAAGAAAATAGAAAGGAATGTTGAACTTGAAGTAAGGTTTTGTTGTTTCTAATTCTAACAAATATACATGATTCATGTGACTTGTGTACAATACGGGATTGACACCTTAGATTATTGAATGCGTCCGGCCGATGTAATCTATAACATATATAAAGTCAAAACATGGTATTTTGGTGTAACATATTTCTCTACCAATTTTACCTTTACTTTAATGTATAACTTACTCAATAACTTTCATTAACTTCCTACATAATTTTCTACTATTAACTTCCTACTATTGACTTCCTACTATTATCTTCTTACTATTGATTTCCTACTTAACTTCTATTTAAAATTAATATTAGATAAAAAATATCATTTAAATTTTTACGTGTGTGCATTAAAAAAGCGGACAGACGCCGTGCCCGTCTGGACGCTAGTACTGGTATAATATCGACAAATGTTGTTACATTTAATCAATTTCTGTTTCCCAAATTATTACTAGTGTCTATTTTTCAGCATTGCATCTGATGTATGAGGTTATGTGCTACATAGCTTTTGTGTTTAATTGATTGTAAATTTTCATCTGGTTTTAAAGTGAATTGTGGTTTTCCTTTGTTGTAAAAGGTGTCTATGAAGCTTTGGAATTGAGGGATGGAGGTTCAGACTACCTTGGGAAAGGTGTTCTCAAGGTACATGCTACTTGATTTTTTTTACCACATTGGTGTATTTATAATTTCTTTTATATTTCTGTTTTAAGAAAGAATGATGGATTTCCTTTTAAAATTTATCGACTATTTTTGTTTGTTTTCCTGAATTAATTGGAGGTGATAATATGATTCCAAATTTGTCTTGGTATAGGCTGTTGAGAATGTGAATGCAATTATAGCACCTGCTCTGATTGGCAAGGTATTGTGCATCTATAACATTGGGCTACATGGAGAACCTATGTCGTACTGTTTTTAATTTTAAATCATGTTTTTAGTAGGTGACTGATTATGTTGTATCATTTGTTCATAGGACCCAACCAAGCAGACTGAAATTGACAATTTTATGGTACAACAACTTGATGGAACTGTTAATGAGTGGGGATGGTGCAAGCAGAAGGTATCTTTATGATTCCTTTTGCTTATTTCTCGTCGATGCTTTTTTGGAGACTATAATTATAATGGCCATTCAATTTATGCCGATCAAGTTTCCACAATCTTGAAATTTTCAGCTCGGAGCCAATGCTATTTTGGCAGTGTCGCTCGCTGTTTGTAAAGCTGGTGCTTTAGCAAAGAAACTTCCACTGTACAAGGTATGTGTGGTATCATGTCACTTTCAGGAACAATAGTTTTCATCTTGTTTAGCTTGTGTTCTTCATGGATTTCTTTGGTATAATTTCAAAACATTTCAGCATATTGCCAATCTAGCTGGAAACAAGACTTTGATACTGCCTGTACCTGCATTCAATGTTATCAATGGAGGTTCACATGCAGGAAATAAGCTTGCAATGCAGGTAAAATCTATCTTATATAATATGTCAATTGAATTGGATATATTTTATAATATTTATGCTTCTGCCTGCTATATAGGAATTTATGATTCTCCCTGTTGGGGCATCTTCTTTCAAAGAAGCAATGAAGATGGGTGTAGAAGTATACCATCATCTGAAGGTTAATCTCCTTTTTATAATTTGCTTTAGAGAAAACTAAATGAGAGGAACTTTTTATTTATTTAGTGTCATCAATTAATATGCTGCTTTGCCTTACAGGCTGTGATTAAAAAGAAGTACGGACAAGATGCTACTAACGTCGGTGATGAAGGCGGCTTTGCTCCTAATATCCAGGTTCTTATGCTCTTCTTTTGGTATTTGTGATCTACGTGTTACCTAAATGTAGTTAATGATTTGATTTCTTGCAATTAATGGCAGTCAAGGTTATAAATAACGGTTACGTAAAGGCTTTTACGTTTTCGGTCGGTACATGTGTTCTGATACCGATTGCGGTTGTCATGGTGTGAATTAACCACAATTTGTCTTTATCACAAAAACGGTGAATATTAGTATTGGTATCGGGACCTTCCGATACCGTTTTGTCGCGGCCGTTTTCACGGCAACAAACTGTTTTTTAAAACCTTGGTAGCAGGCTCATTTATTGTTTGCATATTTAAAAACTTGGTAGCAGGCTCATTTATTATTTGCATATTTGGATTTGAACGCGATAATCCAAACGTGCATTCAAAATATTTATTTCTCTTGTTGTTCCGTGTTCTATATAGGATAACAAAGAAGGACTCGAGCTTCTGAAGACTGCCATTGCGAAAGCGGGTTATACCGGAAAGGTTGAATATTCATCCACTGAATCTGACTTAGTATCTTAATAAATGTGACTGATTAGTTTCTGTCTTTACAGGTTGTAATTGGGATGGACGTTGCTGCCTCCGAGTTTTATAATAACGAGCGAAAAACATATGACTTGAATTTTAAGGAAGAGGTGAACAGCTTTTGAACTTTTTCCTGAAGTTCTTCATTTCTATTCCTTTAGATATATATTACATTGGTAAACGCGTTAACTACATCACTGACTACCTTGTTGCAGAACAACGATGGATCAGAGAAAATTTCAGGGGACAGCTTAAAGAATGTGTACAAGTCATTTGTGTCAGATTACCCGATTGTGTCCATTGAGGATCCATTTGATCAGGATGACTGGGAGCACTATTCGAAGTTAACAGCTGAAATTGGCCAGCAAGTACAGATTGTTGGTGATGATCTCCTTGTTACCAACCCAAAGGTATGTTTTATATTAATTTAATATTTGCTAGGTATGTTTTCCATAAACATGCATCCTTTTGTTTTTAACACTATTCTATCCGTTTTAGCGCGTAGAAAAAGCAATTAAGGAGAAGTCTTGCAATGCACTTTTATTGAAGGTAAATTAGCTTTTGCCTTATTTTTAATGGCTAGAGGATCATAATAAGTTCCATCTTAACTAACCATTTTTTTGATTCCCTTTTGAATCTGATGGGAATTTTTTAAAATGTCTATCGATAGGTGAATCAAATTGGTAGTGTAACTGAAAGCATCGAAGCTGTGAAAATGTCTAAGCAAGCTGGCTGGGGTGTCATGGCTAGCCACCGAAGGTATTGAACATCCATTGTTTTCCTATTATTCTCATTTTGTTCTCATTTCTAATACTCATTTTCTGCCTGTTTACTCCAACGCGTTACTTGTTTATTGTAGTGGAGAAACCGAGGATACCTTCATTGCTGATCTCTCAGTTGGGTTAGCAACTGTAAGTCATCATTTGCTTTTTACCAACCATGTCATGTTTTTTTAATCTTTTTCTCATAAGTGCATTTGCCAAATAATTTGCGTCGAAATTTTGGAAACTTTTTACCTTTGTTGGAGCGTATATGATTTAATCATGTTATGTTATTGTTTAACAGGGTCAGATCAAGACGGGAGCTCCCTGCAGATCCGAAAGGCTTGCTAAGTACAACCAGGTAAAACTGCAAATCTCTAAATCTTTGTCGATTAATATAGCTGAATATGGTAACTTCATAATTTAGAACATTGCAGTGATTACAGTTATACCTCTTTTCATCTGTGTTGCAGCTTCTTAGGATTGAGGAGGAACTTGGTGCTGCAGCAGTCTATGCTGGTTCCAAATTCAGAGCCCCGGTGGATCCCTATTGATATTTGGAACAAGTTTCTGTTGATGCTGAGAGAGAAGAGCATATATTTCATATTTCTGCTCTTTGATAAACTGTTTCTATAAATGAATGTTTTTTTAAGAACTCTATAAGAGTATATAGTTTTGTGGATTGTGTAATTTTGGAACTGAGCAATGAGGGATTGAAGTTTGATGTGTTGTTTGGACATGATAATTTGGATGACATATGCATGGTAAAATTTGTGTGTTTTATTTTTTATTGGCTTAATTGTAATTAGTTTTTTTATTTTTAATTTTTTTGAGTTTTGATCTCCCTATTTTAAAATTCGGAATTTTTGTTCCTTTATTTTCAGTTCTTTTAAGTTTTGGTCCTCCTATTTTAAAATTTGAAATTTTTGTTCATCTATTTTCATTTTTTGTGAGTTTCGGTCTCCTTATTTTCATTTTTTAAAACTTTTGGTCCCCTATTAAATTTGTTCTCAATTGAAAAGAGGGATTAAAGTTTAAAATAAAATTTAAAATAGAGGACCAAAATTAAAAAAAAATAAAAATAGAGGGATCAAAATTTTAGATTTTAAAATAGGGGGATTAAAACTCAAAAAAATTGAAAATAGAGGGACAAAAGTTCTGAATTTTAAAATAGAGGGATCAAAATTCAAAAAAAATAAAAGTAGAGGGATTAAAATTGCAATTAAATCATTTATTTTTTATTTTTTAATGTAATCCTACAACTCTTTCATTAAATAACACATTTATGTAAGGTTAGAGTTTGAGATTGTAAGATAGGGAGAATAAATTAACCTTTGAATAGAGGAATGCATTCACCAAAACTTACAATGAATAATATTTCTACCCAACCTTTTGGCATGACGTTTATTTATTTCTTTTTTTGGATGGTTGAAAGTAAACTTTAACTTCTCATATAAAGAGGATATGAGAGGATTCATTCTGCAACCATCATTACAATAATAAACATCACAAATTTAAAATTTAAAATTATGGTTTAGACTTACCCATGTCTCTATTTATAAGATATTTTCATTGCTTGATGTGTTTTAGTTCCTGGGATGAGCCCATGTCTCTACTTATAAGATACTTTCATTGCTTCATGTGTTTTTAGTTTCTGGGATGAGGAAATCAATTAGATTTTCTGTCTTGTCCTCTTTTTATGCAATTTAGCTGATAAGGTGAAAAAGGAAAGTATATCATATGGTTAATTGTCATTTAGTGTCTTTGAGATTTTTGAAATAGATTTTTTTTCTTACATCAAACGACTTCATTAGATGATAGAAAACAGAGGAATTATATTATCCCTATAAGAACCGATCAATTATGAACATGGTGAGAAACATGTTAAAAGGGAAGAACTTGTCGAAAGAGTTATGGGAAAAAACAGTGTCCATAACTGAATATTTGTTGAATATGTGTTCAATAAAGAAGCTTGAAAATATTACAGCCAAAGAATCTTAATTCAGATTCAAGCCAAATCTGAATCACTTGAAGATATTTAGTTTGGTAGCGTATAAACATGTTCTGGATCATCTTAGAAATAAACTAGATGACAAGGGAAAACAAATGATACTTGGTGGTATCACTCTACCTGTGGCTACAAACTTTATGACGCAGTCAAGAAAAGAATCGTAATCAGTAGGGACGTGATGTTCGATGAATTGAAGATTTGACAACATGCATAATTTAATTCAAATGGTGTTGGAACTGTTTCAGTAGTGTTTGAAAATGCACAAAATGCAGCTGGTGAAGTTCAAGTTGAAGAAAATGTGAGAAGATCAACGCGACAAAGAGGCATGCCCGCAAGACTACAAAATTATGAGTTGTTCCTGGAGAATGAAGTAAACGATAATGGTGATCTTGTCCATTTTGCGCTCATGGTTGAATCCGAACCCATGAAAACGAAAAAGGCTTTGAGTGATCCAAAGTGGATATGTGATATGAAGGAGCAGCTAAAGTCAATTAAAAAACAAATAAGATATGGGAACTAGTTGATCTACCTGAAGAAAATAAGCTGATTGATGTAAGATGAATGTACAAAGTGAAGGGAAATTTCAAGGGTGAAATAATCAAGCATAAGGCTCGATTAGTTGCAAAGGGATTTTTGTAAATATAAGGTATAGACTTTAAATAAGTATTTGCATCGGTGGGTAGAATTGAAACCATCAGGCAATTTGTTGGTATTGCAAATAACAACAATTGGTTCATATACCAAATGGATGTCAAATATGCATTTTTGAATGACCCTTTGGAAGAGGAGGTGTATGTGGCACAACCTCAGATTTTATCGTGAAAAATCAGGAATCTTATTTATGTAGACTAAAGAAGGCATTGTATGGGATGAAGTAAAACACCAAGAGCTTGGATCAAAAGAATTGATGGGTTTCTAAAAGAGATAGAATTTGATAAATGTGTATCCGAACAAGGCGTGTATGTGAAGAATGATACAAGCAAATGAGTGATCACCATATGTCTCTATGTTGATGATTTGTTGGTTACAAAAAGCAATGAAGATTACATAACCAATTTTAGGGTGATTTAATGAAGGAGTTTGAAATGACCGACCTTGGTCTCATGACATATTTCCTTGACGTTGAGTTTCACAAGTCCAAAAAGGGACTACTCATACATAAAAGGAGATATGCTCTTAAGATATTGAAGAAGTTTGAAATGAAATATTATAATGTGGCAATTACTCTTGCAAAGCCAAGATTGCAGTTATAAAAGAATGAAGACGACCATGACATTAGTCCAACATAGTATATGAGGTTGTTTGGATCATTGCGGTACTTGTACAATACGAGACCGAACTTGCAATTTACTGTTGACATGGTTATTAGATTTATAGGGAAGACAAAGGCATCACACTTGGCAGTAGCCAAGAGAATTTTGAGATACATCAAAGGTTTGATTGGCTTAAGAATTTTATTTCCCGCAACAAATAAAGGTAGAGCTGGAAATTGCTCGGTTATACCGACTCAAACTGGTGCGGAAATAAATATGAAAGAAAATCCACTACTGGATACATATTTATGTACAGAGAAACATCAATCTCTTGGTGTTCTAAGAACTAACCAATTGCGGCGCTCTCTTCTTGCGAGGCTGAGTATATTGTAGCGTCTATGTGTGTGTGTGTGTGTGTCATGTTGTATGGTTGATAAATTTGACGAATGAGTTATGTAGTTAAAAGTATGAAGTTAAGACTTTGATGGTAGACAATGTTTCCGCTATAAGCCATGCAAAAAATTCTATTGCACATAGGAGAAGAAAACATATAGATATGAGATTTCACTACTTGAGAGAGCTTGTAAGTGAAGGAAACTTGAAGTTTGCGTATTGCCAAAGTGAAGACCAAGTGAGAATTGTAACACCCATTTATAATATATGTCTAGAATTTACATATTATACATAGTTGCAAATTTGATATTGAAATACATAAGTTTCTAGTGACACATTGTATATATTACATGCCCAAAGCAAAGCCACAAAAAATGGCACAATATATACAAGATGCCCAAAAGAAACTAAGAACTAGATAATTATAGAATGATCTCAAAATAATCATCTTCACAGCGGAAAGCCATCCAAAAAGATAAGATAAGTAAGGACATTAAGCTACTTTGTCCTTACCCTTCGCCGAATCGGAACCACCTGAAAAATAATCAATAATATGGGGTGAGATAATAATCTCAGTGGGCTCCCGATCTTATGGGTTCTCTCGGTTTTACAAGGTTTATACTATTTACTAGCCCAAGTCACAAAAAGGTGGAAAGACTTGAGTTTACAATTCTTTCACTAAATGGAAACATGTTGCTTGAGTTCACCAAATCAAACTATCACTAATCGAAAACCATACAAAGGCATCTTTCCCTGTCATCTCATACGTCGAGAGCTTTCGGCACAGGTCACAGATCCTTGTATCTTACTTTGACATACGAATGGATTCGGATTTTAAGGGACTCCTCAACCTTAAGAATCGTTGCTTCCTATATGACTTCCAACCCATTTCATGCCTTTTACCCATAGGCTCCATTCACTTATATGGACTCAAACATGTCAAAGTAATGGTGCGTACATCCCAAAAGAGCTCTACATAAGCATCACTCTTGGGACGACACAAATAGGGGTTGTCTCCAACCACGTGATCAATAAGGATATCGTGATTGTATTTGACAATCACAAGGAGATCACATCACCTTAACATTTACAACAAAACCACATGCTCCATATAATACCTCACCTCTCCACTAGACAACTACTTGTCAAAGATACGCACCTAGGAATCAGTTGCACAAGCATTGCCATCTAAGTCATCTATCATGTCCTAATCATCTTACTAGTTCATTTCATTATTTGACTTTAAGAGTTTCCTCACCATTCTTAATCATCTTTAGTCATGTTACCCCACATTTACAAGCAATTACTCATGGATAGGAAGCATGCATAATAACCGTAATCATCAATATAAAGCAACTCATAATATAGTTAAACATGTATAAGAAGAAACCTAATAATTACCAAAACAAATTGGAAAAGTCTTGTCACGGTCGCCCGACAAGCAGCCAGCGAGGCTAGCTCGCCTTTGGTTTGCCTGGCGAACCTAAGGCGAGGGGCAGACAAAACCAAAAATGCATCATGGCCACTAGGCGAGCATTATCGAGGTAGTTCGCCTTCGTTTCACCAAACCTCGCCCAACGATCGTAGCAGAAAAATAGGTCTCCCCGGACTCGCCTAAGCTCGTCTGGAGGCCACGTCAATTTTTGCATAATAACCTACAGAACCAAGACAACAACAAGGGGTTTCCTACCCCAACCAACACACAAGCTCATACCCAACAAGATACCAACATATATTGCAAGAATTCAACTTAAACAACATAATTAACCATATATTCATAAAAATTCCATGGCATCAAGAGAATCACACACCAAAATCCAATCTCATAATTTCTATCTAAACATTCCTAACCTAAAGCATCTAGCTAGAACCCACCTTTGAATGATGATGAAAAAGT